AAATACTGATCACTTCCCCAAAGTAGTACAATGTTACTATGGTAACATTATACTACTTTGGTCATAGTAAAATCTGAAAAAAAAATCTTTAAAAAAAAAAAATTATATATATATATATATTTTTTTTTTCATACTGTCACCAGTCAGTGTCCCTGTTCACCGCCATGCCAGTTATATGATGACGCTGTACTGCACTGGTGACAGGATGGAAAAAAAAAATAATGAAAATAATTTTTTTCATTTTTTCATTTTCCGAAAAATTATGACAAAAAAAATACAACTTCAAAAAACTCGCCATTCTTCTTATGAAATACGTCAGACTGTCTACTCTGCAAAAAGGGGTCATTTGGGGGATATCTGTACCGTCCTGACATTTGGGGGATATCTGTACCGTCCTGACATTTGGGGGATATCTGTACCGTCCTGACATTTGGGGGGATATCTGTACTCTCCTGACATTTGGGGGATATCTGTACCGCCCTGACATTTGGGGGATATCTGTACTGTCCTGACATTTGGGGGATATCTGTACTGTTCTGACATTTGGGGGATATCTGTACCGTCCTGACATTTGGGGGGATATCTGTACCGTTCTGACATTTGGGGGAATATCTGTACCGTCCTGACATTTGGGGGGATATCTGTACCGTTCTGACATTTGGGGGGATATCTGTACTCTCCTGACATTTGGGGATATCTGTACCGTCCTGACATTTGGGGATATCTGTACCGTCCTGACATTTGGGGGATATCTGTACCGTCCTGACATTTGGGGGATATCTGTACCGTCCTGACATTTGGGGGATATCTGTACCGTCCTGACATTTGGGGGGTATCTGTACGTCATGACATTTGGGGGGTATCTGTACCGTTCTGACATTTGGGGGATATCTGTACCGTCCTGACATTTGGGGGATATCTGTACCGTTCTGACATTTGGGGGATATCTGTACTGTTCTGACATTTGGGGGATATCTGTACTGTTCTGACATTTGGGGGATATCTGTACTGTCCTGACATTTGGGGGATATCTGTACTGTCCTGACATTTGGGGGATATCTGTACCGTTCTGACATTTGGGGGGTATCTGTACCGTTCTGACATTTGGGGGATATCTGTACTGTCCTGACATTTGGGGGATATCTGTACTGTTCTGACATTCTTGGACCTCAAGAAATGAATTGGCTGTCAGTACTTCAGGATTGATCAATATTCAGATCTATACCATAGTTTGTGAACTCTATAACTTCCCTACAAACTAAAAAATACATCCTAATTTGGGTTATTTTCACCAAAGACATGTAGCAGAATACATCTCGGCCTAAATTTATGAAGAACAATTATTTTTTTGTAAACTTTTATAACAGAAACAAAGAAAAACGTGTTTTTTTTTTCAAATTTTTGGTCTTTTTTTGTTAATTTAGCAAAAAATAAAAACCCCCGGGTGGTGATTAAATACCACCAAAAGAAAGCACTAGTTGTGTGAAGAAAATGGTAACATTTTAGTTTGGGTACAATGTTGTATGACCGCGCAATTGTCACTCAAAGTGTGAGAGCGCTGAAACGTGAAAAATGGCCTCGGCAGGAAGGGGGTAAAATTGCCCGGTATAGAAGGGGTTAATATAATAAACAAAATTCCCAAACCTACAGCCTGGACTGTGCTGTGTGTACTTACCTGAGATCACCCCCAGGAGGAGGATTATGGGCTCCATGCTATCTCCAGGTAGGTGAACGAATTACTGATGCCGTGTGAGTGATGGAACAAACCAAACTCTACAAGACAGGAAACTGAACCTCCTTCACAGCCACAAGAGGTTAGTGACCGGATGTAATCTGTACTGTAATCTGTGTCTTTTTCAATTCTCTAAATCAATTCACACCTTCGCTCAAGTTCCCGGCACATGGGCACTATTAATATATATATATATACACATACACAGTATTCCCAGAAGTGAGTCCCCCCCCCCTCACATTTTTGTAAATATTCTATTCTATCTCCTCATGTGACAACACTGAAGAAATTGCACTTTGTTACAATGTGACGTAGTCAGTGTACAGCTTGTTAAACATGTAAATTTGCTGTCCCCTCAAAATGTGAGACTGAACATAGCCTCTCTGTCTTCTCGCAGGTCCTCCAGGGTAGGTTCTCCTTCATCGCCAAACACAAAATGATCTGTAAGGCTCTCCCACAGCAATCCAGGGCCACCAAAGTCATATCCCTCCGGAGAGCATTCTGTTGTCACCCCTAAATATTCCTGCTGTGCGTACCATTGCAGACCCCGATATCGGTTGTCCAGCTCTATCTCCTGCTGGACCAGCCTGTCCAACTCAGTCACCCATTGCTCCTGGGGTCGCTCTCCCAGGAATGGCATCCATAACATCCGATGGTCCCTGGCCCGTTCCCCTGGGGTTGGATAGCACTTGCCCTTGTACATACCAGCAGCCTGGACGGCTCCTCTCCAAAGCACCACCCAAATCCGCTGCCTGAGCTCCAGGTACTGATCCACAGACACAGTCCTGGGGTATGTTGCAAGAACGATCCGCAGCAGCCACGGGAACTCTGATGCCAGGTCCATATCTCCACTGGGGTGACCGACATCTCCTTTCCTGTTCTTGAATCCCGGTGGTGGTTTGGACGTGTTCACAGTTTGGAAGCACAATCCCACCGCTGCCACCAATGTAACGGAACCGACCCCAGACTGCGCTGAGTACTTCCGTTAGGATACCATATCCCCGTTCAAATACCGACCACAGACACCACAGCCGACCATACAAGACTAGACGACACCAGTCTTGAAGTAATCCAGGAGGTAGACTAGTTTATTGGAACACAGATACAAGATATATACACTCAGGGGACAATCCCTCCTCCCTGCATAATGACACAGGGCGGGGCAATCTACATTTACAACAAGAGACACGCAGGTATTCAAACTTCACACCAGCAGACAGTCCCATCAGGAGGGAGGGCTGCTGGAGACCCCCCCCCCAAATCTCCAATCCTGGGTCCAGGTTTTGAGAGCAGCCAGCACACTGATTGTGCAGGTGTGTGCAGGCCTTTTTGTAGAGGCTCCAACCATGATTCTGGGCTCCACCCCGGGCAGACAGGAGTCAGGAGGGCTCCACCCCGGCAGACAGGAGGTCGCTGCCTTGGAGTCAGGTGGGCTTCACCTAGTAGAGGTGGAAGCCAGAGTAGCTGTGTGCTAGAGGCTCGCTGGGTGCAAAACAATCATTTTGGATAGAGTCTGCAGGAGACAGATGCAAATCGGTGTACAAGCCAGGAGGCTGAATATTTGTTGCATTTGTTGGATGGTGGATACCTCTGTGTGGGAAACATTTTGTTATTGAACTTTCGTTTAAATAAAATTGGGCTAAAAGGCCTTTAAAAAGAAGAAGCGAGTTGATTTAATTATTAGGAGTTGTTCAGTGTCTCACCGGTTGCTGGTCTGCTATGTTCCCCTAACTTGTGGGGAGTTCTAGAAATATAGTGGGAGGAAGAGCAGGGCAGGAAGCTTGAAAAAAAAATTATGGATCTCCAGCCAATCCCTGGGCAGGTGTGTCCAATAGTTGGAGGGAAAGTCCATAAATATTCTGAGGCCTGGCAGCCTGGGTGAGTTCTAAGGTCCAGCCTACTGACTGGGAGGACCCCTGTGCTGGGGCTCTGCCAGCTAGGAAAGGGCTGTGCCACCCCAGATTTTAGCTGTGCCCCCCCCCAAAGCTAACCCTAACCTGCCACTATAGTACCCTAACCTGCCACTATACTTCCATAACCCACCACTATAATGCCCTTACCCGCCACTATGCCGCCCTACTAACCTGGCACTATACCACCCCAACCCGGCACTATACCACCCCAACCCGGCACTATACCGCCCCAACCCGCCACTATACCGTCCCAACCCGCCACTATGCCGCCCCAACCCGCCACTATGCCGCCCCAACCCGCCACTATAAACCGCCCCAACCCGCCACTATGCCGCCCCAACCCGCCACTATGCCGTCCCAACCCGCCACTATGCCGCCCCAACCCGCCACTATGCCGCCCCAACCCGCCACTATGCCGCCCCAACCCGCCACTATACCGCCCCAACCCGCCACTATACCGCCCCAACCCCGCCACTATGCCGCCCCAACCCGCCACTATGCCGCCCCAACCCGCCACTATACCGCCCCAACCCGCCACTATGCCGCCCCACCACCCGCCACTATACCGCCCTAATCTGACACTATACCGCCCCAACCCGCCACTATACCGTCCCAACCCGCCACTATGCCGCCCCAACCCGCCACTATACAAAAAAAAACCGCCCCAACCCGCCACTATACCGCCCCAACCCGCCACTATGCCGCCCCAACCCGCCACTATACCGCCCTAATCTGACACTATGTTGCCCTAATCTGATACTATACCACCTAATCATATACTGTACACCCTAGTTTGACACTATACTGCCCTTGATTGACAATCTACTGATCTCAGATATGCTTTGTGTGGGGAGGAGGAGCTCTGCTGCCTGTGCCCAGGCTGTGTGCAGTGCAGGGATAGGAGAAGCAGGCTGTGCCCCTGTCCTCTGCCCTGACAGCAGTGACCCCCTGTCCTCTGCCCTGACAGCAGTGACCCCCTGTCCTCTGCCTCCCTGACATTTTTTACTGCACCCCTACATTGCAAACGCTAGATCCAGACCCCCTAGGAGTCCTTGAGGAAGATGTTACACAGGCTATCCCCCCTTCAGTCTATTATGAATGCTGCTGCTTGACTCATACACCTTACCAAACCGATCAGTGACTGCTGCCCCTCTCTGCCAATCCCTCCACAGGTCTCCATTCAGTGTCCTCCACCCCTCTCTGCCAATCCCTCCACTGGTCTCCATTCAGTGTCCTCCATCCCTCTCTGCCAATCCCTCCACTGGCCTCTATTCAGTGTCCTCCACCCCTCTCTACCAATCCCTCCACTGGTGTCCACTTAGTGTCCTCCACCCCTCTCTGCCAATCCTTCCACTGGCCTCCACTCAGTGTCCTCCACCCCTCTCTGCCAATCCCTCCACTGGCCTCCACTCAGTGTCCTCCACCCCTCTCTGCCAATCCCTGCACTGGCCTCCATTCAGTGTCCTCCACCCCTCTCTGCCAATCCCTCCACTGGCCTCCACTCAGTGTCCTCCACCCCTCTCTGCCAATCCCTCCACTGGCCTCCACTCAGTGTCCTCCACCGCTCTCTGCCAATCCCTCCACTGGTCTCCATTCAGTGTCCTCCACCCCTCTCTGCCAATCCCTGCACTGGCCTCCATTCAGTGTCCTCCACCCCTCTCTGCCAATCCCTGCACTGGCCTCCATTCAGTGTCCTCCCACCCTCTCTACCAATCCCTCCACTGGCCTCCACCCCTCTCTGCCAATCCCTCCACTGGTGTCTACTTAGTGTCCTCCACCCCTCTCTGCCAATCCTTCCACTGGCCTCCACTCAGTGTCCTCCACCCCTTTCTACCAATCCCTCCACTGGCCTCCACTCAGTGTCCTCCACCCCTCTCTACCAATCCCTCCACTGGCCTCCACTCAGTGTCCTCCACCCCTCTCTGCCAATCCCTCCACTGGTCTCCACTAACCCGACATATAAAATTCAAAATACAAACCACAGCTTACAAAGCCATCCACAACACTGCCCCCAGCTACATCGCCAACCTCATCCACAGATACCACCCAAATCGCCCACTCCGCTCCTCCCATGATATCCTCCTCTCTAGCTCCCTCATCACCTCCTCCCACGCTTGCCTCCAGGACTTCTCCAGAGCCTCTCCCATCCTCTGGAACTCCCTACCACAGCATGTCCGGTCAGCCCCCACCCTGTCTGCCTTTAGGCGATCTTTGAAAACTCACTTCTTCAGGGAAGCCCACCCCACCCCCACCCCCACCTAAGAACTGTACTTGGATCACCTCCGCCAGATCATCCCCCCGCAGTTATCACCTTTTGTATCACCTCTCCCCTTCCTTTAGATTGTAAGCTCCACGAGCCGGGCCCTCCTATTCCTTCTGTACTGAAATGTATTGTAATTGTACCGCCCCCCTTATATTGTACAGCGCTGCGCAAACTGTCGGCGTCATAAATGCTGTATAATAATAATAATAATAATAATAATGTCGGGGTCCCTGCTGGAGGAGCAGGGTAGGACAACTTTTTGAAATGTGTCTTAGAAAGTGTCCTTACTTTTTTAAAGAGACAGATCAAATTTAAATACAAAAATTCTGGGGGGGGGGGCATGGCTTAGCACAGCAAGGGGTAAGACATGTCTAGCTGCAGTTCTGCACGGTATTGGTCCTTTCCTTTATCCTGCGGCAATGCAGTGGCATTCATCCTGCTCCAAAAGCAGTACATTGAGAGACACTCTGCCCCCTTGGCCCTTCGTGTTGCTTCCAAACCTTGCCTCTATGGTCTTTGGCCAACTGGAAGAGTCATGCGAAGAGTGTTGAAACCATGCTGGAAGATGGAGATCCTGAAACACAAGACTGCAATCCATCTCCATTGGACGCGGTAAAAGTACTCGCAGCTATTTCTACTTGCTAGAATACTTAGACCATTGGCAGTGGTGGAGGAGGGGAGGGCAAGCCACTGCTGTACAAATGACATATTAAAGTGGTGGTAAAGGCTAAAGGTTTTTTTTTACCTTCATGTACTCTATGCATGGGCTGCCCCCCCCCCCCCCACAGCCCCTCCCTTATACTTACCTGAGCCCCATCTAGATCCGGCGATGTGCACTGGAGCCTCGGCTGTTCGGGGTCACTCTCTCCTCATTGGCTAAAACACAGCAGTGGGAGCCATTTGCAGCCAGTGAGCCCAATGAGGAGAGAGTGGGGGACTGGGCCGAGCCACGACTCTATGTGTCTTATGGAGAGAGCACGCACCAGTGCCCCCAATAGCAAGTGGCTTGCTATTGGGGGCACTGGTCAATGGGGAGGAGCCAGGAACTCGAGGAGAAGAGGATTGGGGCTGCTATGTGCAAAGCCATTACACAGATGGTGTTTTTTTTAAACAAATCTTTAGAATAACTATAAAGGAAGGGGGAAGGTAAAAAGCCAAAATCCACAGTGGGAGTCCAAAATATACACCTTACAGGGCACTACCATGGATCACCAAGCTACTGTTAGAATTCACGGAGCACCATACAGCCAACATTACCCCCCCCCAAAAAAAAAAAAAAAAAAAAAAACAGTTTACTATGCTTCCGTTATGAATGAACACAGTGAGTGACTGGTACTGATCACTCACCGTGTGGGTTCAGGAAAGGAAGGGGCTGGTAAAAATGTGACATAATTACCAGGCCCCTCTCCCATTCTCCCATCTTGAAGGGTCCTATAGTGTGCTTGCGGCTGTCGGTGAGATGGAAATGAGGGAAGCTGGCAGCACTGTGGGGGTGGAGGCACACAGAGGATGCCTGGGCAGTGGGGGGGAAACAGGGAAGGTGATGGGTCTTGTGGGGGGGGGGGGGCAATTACTGTAAACCAATCCTCTTTATGGCTCTCTCTGCAACAGCTGAAAGCCAGCGGGAGGAAGAGAAGAGAGCCAGCTGCTGCAGAGAGTCATACAGGGGATCAGTTACAGTAATTGCCCCCCACCCCCACCGTGCTGATCACCCTCCCCGCCCACATCTGCTTTCACCCAGCTGGCCTGGGGCACCCCTGCTGGCCTGGGCCAGGTACAGGAGGACTGGTGGTACCCCTTACCCACGACCGCTAATGAAGCAACCGCAGGGGACCAGGGGGTTGGTGACACTCCTATGAGTGTTGGCTTCAGAAAAAAAAAACCTCTACCTGGCGATTCCTGTACTCAGTAGTATGGATGGGAGAAGAGCTGTGCAAATACTTCTCAGATTTTACAGGCACATCGTTTATGGTGACGTTGGCAATAAAATTTGCTTTGAAGAGGAACTGAAACTGTGGAAGCTGTTCCCAAAAACCGGAAAGCGGAGGGTAAAGGACCCGTCACCAGGATTACGTGAGGTCTCCCTGCAGCTGATTTGTTCCTCCTTAGACTTACTAGGAGTTTTTTCTGTCCTTTGTCGCGTTGCGCTGTGTGGAGGTGGCCATCTTGGTAACGAGGCTTTGCTTCCTTCAGTTAGAGTCTCCAGCAAGGAGAACAATGAGCGTGGGGACCAGGGGAGAACTGACAGCTTATGGTCGATCCCCTGGGAAATAGGGGATCATGGGGCCCCTGTGTCCTTGATCACAACTCAAAGCACTACCAAAAAAGCCTATAAAAAAAATGTAGCATGGGGGCTTTTCATGGGGCCCCCCCTACTGACCTGGGCCCTCGGCAGTGCCCAAAGTGCTCTAATGGTCAATCCGCCCCTGAGCAGGAAAACATGAGTCCCATCACCAAATCTTCTACAGCCTTTAGTCAGAGGCAGCCGTACTTGGGGGCCCATGTTGATGGGCTTTTGTTCATCCTGATGGGTTTTGCATTCCTTTACGAGACTGAAAATGCAAAACCACTTAAGCAGCAGGTCAACTGCAAGTCAGACGGAGTCAACTGCAGGTTAAATGCGCCTGTTAGTGAATTCCTGAATGATCTCAGAACTGCAATCACCATTGATAGCTTACAAGGGGTTATGGACTACTTGTGTGGAACGTTCTGATTGGCCACGGTGTCATGTTGCGCCCAAACTGGATTGTCAAGGATTTCTTCTTGGCTCCAGTGCTGGACGTAGCAACAAGCACAAAGCCCATCCATACAGGTCCTTAGAGCTCACTCCAGCCAACTAGAAGGCTACAGAACAGAGGTTCTGAGGCACACCCACATATCAGGAAAGAGATCAGCTATTTTTTTAGGAGGAATTCAAGACAAAAGGTCGATTCTCAAGGTATTGCTTGCTTAGGCTCAATTAACATAGAAACCCCATAAAATAGCTTCCCTGGACCCTTATAGTGATCATTTGGTGGATGCTTTGTGTGTTGGGTCAATATGGATCACCAATAAACTGTCTTATAGGGACTCATCTCCATTGAACATTTTATAGTTTCCACTCATTGTGTTCAGGTGTTGGCATTGTATGGTGGTCTATACCTTACCTGTGACTGACAGATGTATGCCCATTTTCCCTTGGTAATAAAAATAGATGAAGGGTACTAATGTCCCGCAAGAAAGCAGACGTAAAGTCCGGTGTCATTAGGGGTGACAGAGGAGATGGTGAGAAGTTCTGGGTGAACCGTCAACCCGGGAGGGAGTAAAACCAGAGACCCTCCAGAGTCCATCGTATATACCATTGCCAGTACTTGGTGCTCAATCACCTCGCCCTTTGACATGGACTGACCATCACAGGACATCCGGGCCGGTGTTCACCGGCAGACAAGTTTAAGGAATGGAGGATCCTGGATCACCGTCATCTGTGTCACCACGCAAACTAGACCACACTGAAGAACAGAGAAATACAGAAACACAATAGGACTCCACAACTAATGCGGGAACTGTTTTTGACAAATTTTTTTTCTTTCTACCAACCACTTATTTCTCCCCAAAAATGTCCCAGTCTGCCCCCCCTTTTTTATTTTATAAGGAGTCATATCCCCCCTTAGTATTATACATGGAGATCATATCCCCCCTTTGTTTATCATGGGGATCATATCCCCCTTATGTATTATAACATGGTACTATCCCCCCTATGTATTTACAGGGGGATCATTCCCCCTTATTATTAATCATGGAGTATACCCCCCCTTTTGTAATAAAA